TCACTTCACTCACTCACTCACTCACTCACTCACTCACTCACTCACTCACTCACTCACTCACTCACTCACTCACTCACTCACTCACTCACTCACACTCACACACCACCTTAATCAACACTGTTTTGTTTAACTGTGTGTGGGGAAAATGCCAGCAACGTTAGGGGAAAAAAAAGCAGTTTAATCAAATTAAAATTTAAAAAGGTTGTGTCTGGTTCTAGCATTTCATATTTCCTAGTTCCTACTGCATGAGTTCAGATGTATTAATCCATGCACTTAAATATGAATGTTCTGACTTTACTGAAACACTTGTTCTGTAATAGTTCCTTTACTATTGTGATAGGGTTAGGGTTGCTCTGTAAATAGTTTTCAAATAAACAATACACATAACAACTTCTGATCAATCCATATAAATTTCAGATTTAAAATAAAGTATTGATGTAAACTACACCCACTAATTTCTAAATTATAAATAAGAGGTGCATTCATCTGTGTATCTCCTTTGATTCGCATTAGTGATGTTTTCAGCACCAGAACACTGAAGCAAAGAAACAGATTTCTGAGTTTATGTTAGTAATTTTATTTATTAGGTGCATCTGACCTGTTCTATTTTTCTCTGAAATGAGATCAAATCAGTGCTTCTATGGGTTGTCTCCTCTCTGCACTACAAAAATGTACTTTATTGTAATGTTCACTGTAATGCATCTTGATGTTCTTAACAAATAAATTAAATCAAAGATATTGGTCAATAATGCCAATTATGTAAATTTGTGTTTCAGTCATTTTTATACTGGCTTAGAAATACTTCATTAAGTCGACTAAGCAGGGGTGTAGAAGGTTTTTAATAGGGTCAGCCCAGTAATGATCTTGGACCAAATAAAGGGGGCAGAAAGTCAAATACAGGGGGGCAGAAGGAGATGTTTTTCCAGAATGCCAAGAAAAATTAAATGCCAACCCCCCCCCCCCCCCCCCCCCCCCCCCCCCCCCCACACACACACACACACACACACAAAAACAAAAATTCCAAGGGGAAACACTGTCTTGTGGTCCATTTACATCTTAAGTAAGTAAATTATTCACTTAACTCAATTCAATTTCATTTATCAAGCACCAAATCACGACAAGAGTCGTCTCAAGGACCTTCACACAGTAAGCATTCCAATACAGGTGTTGAGGGTCTGCCCTCATGAGGAAATTACTATGCAGTAATTTTATCCAAAAGACTGTGCCAAAATTGCTCTGAAGAGCATATTTACACATCAGCGCCAGCTACAACTTCATTTCCCATGATTCCTTCAGCCGGAAGCAATGTGATGACGTCACCGCCGAATACCGGAAACACGTTCTGCGCATGTGCGGGAGCCACACAGTTTCTCCCGCCAGACTGCCAGTCTATAAAAGGGAGGCGAAGTGAAACTTAACTTGTTCTTTTGTTCCAGTCCTACTGGCGTGAAGGACACGCTTACTGCTACGGCTCCGGACAACGTGAGCACGCGGGAGGCCTGGCTGCTGAAGTGGATCGAACACAGAACCGCTGAAAAACAGTGGAAACCCATCAGATCTGCTCCTGGTGCTCAATTCCAGTTGACGTGAGAAATCGCTCGCTGCTATGACTCTGGACGTGTGAAGACCCAGAACCTGGCTGGAAGGCAGCGGAAAACCATCAAATCAACGGAGAACACCGATTAAACAGTGGGGGGCGCCTCGCTGTTCGGGTTTGATAAACAAGAGTTCCTCCTCTCACTTTATCTTTTTCTCCCGTTTTCTCTATAGTTCAGAACAAGCAATAAGACCGTGCTATTGCTTCAAAGTAACATCGTGTTTTTCTCTGTCGTACCAAAATACGCCATCAGATGATCTTAAAGAGTAAGCCGCTTTGTTTGTCATTGTTTGATATATTATTTTTGCCTGAGTTAACCAAACTAGTTAACTCTATGAAGACCTCTGCATGCCCCCTCGACATCTTACCCTCATCTTTGTTTAAAAGTGCTTTTCAGTCCATCGGTCCCAGCGTGCTCTCTATAATTAATGCTTCTCTGGTTTCTGGTCAGGTTCCTGCTTACTTTAAGAACGCTGTAATCCACCCGCTTCTTAAAAAAGCGAGTCTTGACCCCTCTCTCCATAGCAGCTTCAGACCCATCTCTAAACTTCCGTTCATCTCCAAGATCTTGGAAAAGGTTGTGGCTAAACAACTCACAGCTGCTCTTGATGAACATAACATCTATGATAGCTTCCAGTCAGGTTTTCGTAGAGCTCATTCTACTGAAACAGCTCTTCTTAGGGTCTCTAATGACCTTCTGACTCACAGTGATGCAGAGGACTGTTCTGTTCTGGTCCTGCTGAACCTGACTGCAGCCTTTGACACTGTTGACCATCACCTGCTACTGGAGAGGCTGACAGACTGGGTAGGCCTATCAGGAACCGCTCTGGAGTGGATCTCCTCTTATCTTTCTGAGCACTCCTTTTCTGTGGCCATCTCCAAGTTTAGGTCCTCCACCACCTCCCTTACCCATGGTGTCCCACAAGGTTCTGTGCTGGAGCCTCTGCTCTTCCTCCTCTATCTGCTTCCTCTTCAGCACATCCTGAGCTCCTTATAAGGAATATCCTACCATCTTTACGCAGATGACATCCAACTGTACATCTCCTTTAAGCCCCATGAGATGTCTAAGCTGCAGCTGTTACACACCTGCTTAGACTCTATCAAAACCTGGATGGCTGGGAGCTTTCTACAGCTGAATGAAGATAAGACTGAGATCCTCATCTGTGCCCCAGACAAGCTGGTTCCCAAAGTCAGAGACTCTCTTGGTCAGCTTGCTTCTCAATCAAAACCCTCAGTCAGGAATCTTGGTGTGACCTTTGACCCAGCTCTCATCCTGGATTCTCATGTCAGTTCTCTTGTTCGCTCTTCCTTCTTCCATCTCAGGAACATTGCTAAGCTGAGTCCCATTCTGTCCCGCTCTGAACTTGAGACAGTTATCCACACCTTCATCTCCTCACGTGTTGACTACTGTAACTCTCTTTTCACGTGTCTGAGCAGAACCTCCCTGAACCGTCTACAGGTGGTTCAGAATGCCTGTGCTCGGCTTCTGTCCAAGTCCTCCAAACACACCCACATCACCCCGCTTCTCCTCCAGCTTCACTGGCTGCCAGTCAACTTCAGGGTTCATTTCAAGATCCTGGTTCTGGTCTATAGGGCCTTACATGGACAAGCACCATCTTACATTGGTGATCTTCTTAGTCCCTACTAGGGCCTAACCGATACGCTTTTATTGGGACCGATACCGGTATAAAACTTTTAACAAAGGCCGATAGCCGAAATAATGGCAAATAAATCTCCCTCACAAAAAAAGAAATAAAAATGTTCTTAAGCTTAAACCCTTCATTCGCTGCCTTTGTGATGCAAACTAATTTCTCTATTACACACCAAAGAACTGTCTCAGTAACTCACTCGGGTTTCCAAGTAATGCAAATAAGATTTATTTAGCAGATCTCAAAAACAACAGCACACACAAACTCAGTCACAGCATAAATCTAACATTCAAGTTTTTTCTTGTAAACGGTGGTTTCCACAAATACATTTTAACTTAAAGGAATATTCCACCACTCAGTAAAACTGTGTCTTGTTAAGATCTCCCAAGAGTTAGACAAGTCAGAAAAAGCATTTTATAACCAGCCCAATATGATCTGGCAGCAGTTGGTTTTCTTAGTTTAGCATAAAACAATGTAAGTGGATTCACATACATTATAGTGGTTTTTTATGTAGGTGAATGCAAGCCTTCCCTTCCATTGCTTTATGCTAAAACAACTGGTTACAAAATGTTTTTGCTGACTTGGATAACTCGGGAATCTACCAACACACACGTTTAGGGACAGGAGATCTCTATAAGAATATTAAAATAATAAAAATGCAGCAATAAATAAAACGTAATACTTGTGCTTTGTAACAAAGTAACACTCTGTGGGAGTTAACGTGGTGAACGTATTCACCCTGGACAGGAAATAATTGCACATAAGAAACATAAATAAGAATAAATAAAACAAATGTTCCAAAACAATAATTTGTGTTCAAAGTTCAAAGGAGTCGAGCCACACAACATGAGTTCATAAAGCTGGCGCCATCTGCTGGATAGGTAGTGCAATATCGGCCATCTTTTTGGCCGATAGTCGATACTGTTAATGACCCCAATATCGGCCGATGTATCAGCCGGCCCATAGTCCTTACACCCCCAGCAGGTCCCTGAGGTCCAGTGATCAAAGTCTACTGGTTGTGCAGCACCAGGCTAAAGGTGACAGATCTTTTGCTGCTGTGGCCCTCAAACTCTGGTCCTCTCTCCCCCTGAGCCTGAGATCAGTGGACTCAGTGGTCTCCTTTAAAAAACAGCTGAAGACTCACCTGTTCAGGCTGGTTTTGGTGTGACCTTCATCACTACCCTCTCTTCAATCAGCTCTTTCTACCAATTCCACCTTTGCCAGGATCCACTGATTCCCTTTCCTTTTGTTTCAATTTCAGTAGTTTTAATCACTTTTTTCTAATTTTTGTGATATTTTTTGATAATTTTTTATTCTTTATTTTTGTTCATCTTGAGAGGCACTACAGAAAATATCGTTTTCTTTTTCTTCTTTCTTTCAGGGAGGAAACAGCCTGATAAAACTCAACATCCCCATATTCTCCACAGCTGAGGCAGGTAAACATGTGCACAATCACCTCTGGTGCTATTTTGGTGTGAACCTTCATTGGAGCTTAAGTGGAGCTCTTATGTGAATCACACATCCATTTAAGGAATTGCGATTAGTCAAAGGTGTTAAGAGAAAACACATTCAGCGTTAAGCGTGGTTCACACATGCAGGAGCTTCTGAAACTTTAGCAGTTCCACTTCCCCTTTTGCTATGTTTAGATCGGAGTGCTGCAGACTTCAGTCCACACTTATTCTCAACTCTGAACCTCCCTGCTGAATGGAGGACCAACTGCTGAAACCCGACTGAGATTCGGAGAAATGACTCACCACTCTGTTGCTCCAAGTCACTGGCAGGCTTTCCAGTATTCTCAGAATCACCAATGTACCAGTAGGACATGGCTGCTGGTACCAGTGGCTTGGTCAACCACAGCTGGAGCAGTTCTTCTACAAAGTGGTGCTTTCCACCCTGCAGACATAAAGCAGCAGAAAGCAGGAGCCAGAGCAGTTAAACACAGTTAGACAATAGTCAGTCAAAACAGGTACATCTTTAATAATTTTCAGAAGTGCACAGGGACTGTTTCGTGGTAAATCCACTCTTTGGAGCTGCTGATCATGTTATATTGTAATTTCCTCAAGACAAGCACCCCCAAAGCAGTTTTTGGCTCCACGCATGAATTTCCCCGTCTCAGCTGCAGCTTTTCTTCGGTTCTGCTAAGCCGTTGCAGACAGCTGGATGGAAAATGTCCGCGTTCCTGATGCACCGCTCCATTCCATCTAGGTAGTGTGAAATCTGGATCCCTCCTCCGCGTGGACTGTAAACACTAACACCAACTCTCTCCGTGTAGCTAGCAAGGAGTTTAATCTCCACTGTTGCAAAGAAGAAATTTCCAGGACTGAACGATTTAGAAAAATATTCATATTGCAATTTAATTTGCGATCACTTTCTCAAGGGGCTTTTCTCATATTTTTCAAATAATGTAAGCAATAAAAATACATAAATGTATTATCATAAACAATATCAGATTTATTATACATAAATATTCTTATACAGATTTGTCAATGATCTCTGTCACCTGAAAGTTTCTTTACTGGAAGCTGAAGCACTGGCGCCTGGGATTTTAGTCATGCAATTCTTGTATACGGTGGTGTGATGTTTTTTAGGTGTTGATCAAAGTTCGTAGTGGTACCTCATGAGGTAGCAACAGTAGCAAGGCAGGTTCTGCACTAGGGCTGGGTAAAAATATCAATTCACCAATGCATTGCAATTATTTGTTTCTCTATTCATTTTCGAGTCATCAAATCCTATTAATCAATTCAGGCCACCAGTCAGTAGGGGGGGGGGGGATGAGTAGGATGGTTTCAGTCCTAGGTTGATGAGTTCCTTGAAGTCCAGGTCTGGGGTGCAAGAATGAGTAGTGATCAAAGCCTACTGGTTGTGCAGCACCAGGCTTAAGACAAAAGGTGACAGATCATTTGCTGCTGTGGCCCCCCAGACTCTGGAACTCTCTACCGCTGGGCCTGAGATCAGTGGACTCAGTGGTCTCCTTTAAAAGCAGCTGAAGACTCACTTGTTCAAGCTGGCTTTTGTATGACATTCATCACCACTCTCTCCTACTCACTCTCTATCTTAACATTTTGTTTTTTAATCACAACTGTCTATTTTTGCTCATTTTAAATATATTTTTAACCATTTTCTAAATTGTTTTTTATTTTTTTACATTTTTGTTTTTGTGAAGCTCCTCGTGATTTTTATCTTGAGAGGCGCTATAGAAATGATGCTTTCTTCTTCTTCTATAGTTGTTGTCTAGTCTCGGCTTGTTAACAAGAACTCCCATTCAGCTCATCATATTTTAGTCACAAAAGAGCTATTTTTAGCTCATCAGCATGGAAGAGGAGTTGAACAAAAGGGAATTTTATCATTTGTGTATTTAACTAAGGGTTAGTGTAGGCTTTAACCTCATGTCATATCAGTCTATTTGTTATATAACGTAGTGATGCTAGCAGTTAGCGTTAGCATTGCGGTTCTTGTATTCTTTCCGTTTTTAGACGTTTTCCAGTTAGAACACCGCATATTTGATTAAATGAGTGATTAACATGTCCTGTAGAGTTCTATAAAGACTTAGAAGACAATTTAGCTGTTAGAATTGTGTGTTTCTGAGCAGAAATGCATTATAAACATCAGATGTTTGTGCTTTTGGCTACATTGGCCTTGTACAGGGTCCGAAATAAAATGTTTTACTCACCGGCCAAGTTGGCCGGTAGATGATGAAAATCTACCGGCCAAGCATATTTTTTACCGGCCAAATTCTAAATGATTTAGATCTACCTAAAGCATGTAATTCTATATTATGTTGATTCCAAACAGAGTGACAAAATAATTAAAACCTCAATTAATAAGGAAAACAACTCTTTTGTCATTTTTACTATTTATTTATTTATTTTTAGAGATGTTTTTATGAACTCTTTCATTGAAATCTAGTCAGACTCCTTGTTTTCTCTGTCCATGAAGTCTGGCCTCCTGCTTCTGACACCGTCTTTGTGCCAAAGCATTACAGCCTCATTTGGGTCATAGTCCTTGATCTCTGGAGAACACAGCTGCACCATGAGAATATCTGAAAGTGTGTCAGGGCTAGGGTTGTCACGGTAACCGGTGTAGCAGTAAACCCCGGTAAAAAAGTTGACAATAATAACAGTCTTGTTTAATATATATATATATATATATATATATATATATTATCTCGGTGGATTACCGTGGCTGCGGTACCAGCCACCGTATCATCTGCTAGAAGTTGCCAGCGGCACATGCGCACTTTGTTTACGACCAAAACTTTCTTTAAGCTAAAGCTGAAATAATGGCAGGAGGAGACGGCAGCACTCTGGACATTTATTATCCCTCAAAGAAGACAAAGTCGGAAGTATGGGCATTTTTTTGATATTTGAAGAATGCCGAGGGACAGTTGTCTGTGAAAGGCAGCAACGCTACGTGGCCATCATAATGTAGCCTGTCTCACGACTCCGCCGTCTCCAGTTCGCCACTTTTCACAAAATCTTCTGGTTGCCACTGGTCCTGGTGGTTTTTCTTCCAGTTCGACGAGTTTTCTTTTGGAAGGCTGGCTGACTCCAGTTAAAAACCGCCACATTTTACCGCTAGTTTTAACACGAAGCTAACTGCTAACTTGATAAACTGATTGAATGGGACAGGTGGAAATGACGTTGGATGCGGCGTTCACGTTTCGCGTACGTTTGTGTACGCTGCATGCAGGCGGGAGGAGTATCAGAAATCCATGGAAGATGACTGATAAACATAACTAATTTGGTGCAAACATTTACTGGCCAGGTGGCAGGTAGAGCTCAAAAATTTACTCGCCAAATGGAGCAATTTACTCGCATTTGGCGAGTGGCGAATGTTAATTTCGGACCCTGGCCTTGTAGCCCATTGGGCAATGAGTTCTGGCTATTGTTGAAGCAATACAGATTTGATTAAAATGAGTTATAGCAACTCCTGCAGAATCTGATGAAGGCTTGGGAAGGGTTCCTAAATATCTCCACCAAGGAGACAGCCTGTGACAGTTTATTACAAACAAAGTGTGTATCTGCAAAAAAATAAAAAGGTAATGCACATACTTCTGAAAGTATAACAATAAAGGATACAACGTGTAGTTTTATAAACATTATATATTCTGTTAAAATCAGATACAAGTGCTGTCCATGAAATTAGGTTATTACCGGAAAAATAAATACATGCCTAATCTCTCTATAGTATAGGGGGAAAAGTATTCTAATCATATTCTTGTTTTATTCATAGACATGGAAATGATTTGAGAAGAGGTGATGGAGCATGGTAAAACGCCAACCAAGGGATCTTCACACAGGTGAGTACTAAGTCGAATCTGCAAATGGCCATCATATCGGTCAGATCAGGTATATGAAAGAATAGTATTTAGTTTCTGTGTGGAAGTTAAATACAGCATTGATGAGCAGTATAACCATATTGAAAACTCTGCATGTTTTTCAAGTTTAACATCACCTTACAAAGAATCAAGAGTTTTTTCCATCTTCAGAGGAACAGAAAACCACAGAGATGGACAGCGGTGATGTCCACATAACATCTATACATAAGGTAACTTCTGTTTACTGTGTCTACATTTTAGAGGATATATAATAAATTCTTATGTTCATTGGAATAGAGCAGTCCTGAAAACTAAAATCAAACGCAACGGTATGAGGACATAGCCTGGCCTGCCAGACTTGTCCACTTGTTTTACACAGAACTAGTCTGGCAACTCACCGGCAGTGAGGCACAAGAGGGGTAGGACTAGCCAGCTCAAAAGTAGCCAATCAGAAAAAAGGTGGTAATGCTGACTGTATCGTGCAACACTGTAGTTTTTTTTTTTTTTTTAGCTGTAGTCAAAAATGGTGTCTGGCAATAGCGAAAACACTTTAAGCACTTCTACTTGTGGTTTTAAAGACATGTTCAAGTCATTTAGACCAGAGGAAAAAGCCACAGCGAACTCCACTTCAGTTGCCATGTTTATGAGAAACTCTGCGTCGTGGTGTGTGACGTACGCTGCTCAGCGCTGACTGGCTCTGTTAGAATTCTCAGGGAGTGGAGTTATTTGAATAGTAGAGTACCCAAAACCTTTGCTTCGCATAAGGAAGCATAGCTGGTTGGTCAGGTATGGAGCTAGGATTGGGACAATATTCAATGTAACTTGTACCAAGTTTTGTAACTTGGAACATGTTTCATAACATGTAACTTTGGATTTGTAACTTGTAACTTTAGTTTTCTAACTTGTAATTCTCAATTTATACTTGTACTTCTTGTTTTGTAACAGGAACGTTGTATTTTGTACATGTATTTTTTATTTTGTAAAATCAACCTTTTATTTTGTACATTTACTACTCATTTTGTAACATCAAACATTCATTCAGAAACATGAAACTTTCGGTTTTTACCTAGCAGACTTCCAAAATAAAAATAAATAATCAATGTACAAGTTTGAAATCAAAACTCTCAAAACACACATTTCATTCTACAGGTACAAACCTCAAATCTACAGTGTTACAAATCATTTTGTCCCAATTCTAGCTTCGATGGGAGGAACTTGGGTGGAATCAATGAGAGCATGAGTCTTAGCTACCAATCACGTTTCTCAAATTCCTGTCCAATCATTGGGAGAGGAGGGCAGGGTTCTGTCAGAGCTGTAGAGAGAGTTACGACACTCCAATAGACTCCTATGGAAAGAATGGAATGCGGACGTCACGTGGTTCATGTAGCTTCGAATAGTTCCAAACAGCCCCGCTGCTGCATTGACTGTAGTTCATTTTCGGTGTTTTGGAAGGATTTTCTCTGGTAAGTTGATGAAATGTCATCATTTGGTTGCATTGTGAAGCGTTAGCTAACCGCTTCGTACCAAAATAAGCCAACGATGATATTTTATGTTGCCAGTTTTAGCTAGAAAACCT